GGCTTGGAACACTGGGAGTGCAGGAGGAGGCAGTCAAGGCTGGCTTGGAGCACTAGGAGTGCAGAAAGGAAAGCAGTCAGGGCAAGGCTGGCTTGGAGCACTGGGAGTGCATGAGGAAGCAGTCAAGGCTGGCTTGGAGCACTGGGAGTGCAGAAAGGAAAGCAGTCAGGGCAAAGCTGGCTTGGAGCACTGGGAGTGCAGAAAGGAAAGCAACAGGCTAGCTAGCAGAGTGTTGCTATCTTATAAGGTTGGTGCAATGTGTTTTTGTTAGATTAACCCTGATAGAGAAGGATATACAAAGTGAGTCAGTGCTCAGACGAGCTAGGTTTTTGTTTAAAGGGAAACCTGTTATATTTATGTTTTCATTTGCTGCTGCCTCATATGTAAACTTACAAATAAAGTGCCTGGAATGAAGTTGCATTGAAAGACTGTGCATGTTTTTGCCCTAGAGGACCGTGTTACCTGCAGACAAGGATCACAATACATATATCACTAAAAAAGCAGAAACCTTGGCCCTTACCCTTAATTGTTCAAAGAAATAGTCTATCTTTGCCTGGGTGCAATCCTCAACGTTTGATATATAACAAAAGATGTATGCAAGGAGCACTCACAGGTCTTCATCCAAAATCTAATTTATTCTTTGGTGCAAATTACATGTGCAAGTTAAACGATCGACGTTTCGACCCTTACAGGGTCTTCTTCAAGATCCTGAAGAAGATCCTGTAGGGGTCGAAACGTCGATCGTTTAACTTGCACATGTAATTTGCACCAAAGAATAAATTAGATTTTGGATGAAGACCTGTGAGTGCTCCTTGCATACCTCTTTCGTGTGTGTATATGTGTGTGTGTGTGTGTGTGTGTGTATATATATATATATATATATATATATATATATATATATATATATATATATTTATGTAATAATTTTACATAATTAGGTCATTTTATTCATTACAATTTGCAGGACCTGCCTGACAACCAAGGCCGAAAGTCCAGGGAATTTAATTTGCTAGCACTATATTTAACCCTAACAAGTATATAGGGCACTAAATTCTCTAAAATATAAAATACTTTGATAAATATATAATTGTCACGGGTCCCACCGTATCTTCCAGAGTGCCAAACGAGGTTGCCCCAGGAGCGGATTTGAACCTGGGTACCTTGCAGTCCTGGGACTGCTATATTACCTCTGCCACCATTCAACTTTAGGAATGCCAGTATCCAGCACTGGGGGCTGGACATGCATTGAAGTTTTTCCTGTCTCTCATGGTACACCTGATGTTGATGGTCTCGTTAGCCAGGTATAAAACACTGCCTCTCCCAGAAGGCAGTGTCAGTTCCTTGACTCTGGTGATCATACTGCTGTTTTGTGTTCTCCAGTTTACTCTTGACCTTGGCTTGTTGTTTTGTTTATTCTGATTTCTGGCATCCTGACCTTTGGCTTCCCACGACGATTCTCCTGCTTTATCCGTTCCTGTACTGCGACTTGGAGAATTATCCTGCACAGCCCCCGTGCACCGACTCACAGGCCAGGTGAATTCTTGCCTGACCACCTCGGCCTGTGTTTACTTGCAAGGGTGAGCATACATCTCTGCCTGACGGACTCCCAACCCAGGTAAG